AAATCAGCAAGTCGAGTCCGAGTCGAGTCATTTGGGGCTGTTGACTCGAGTCGAGTCATTTTTCGTATTGGACTCGAGTCGAGTCGAGTCGCTGAAAATAGCGACTCGAGTTGACTCGAGTCAGAGTCAATGACTCGACTCGTTACAACACTGGACGGAAGTAAAGCCACTTAAAACGCTGTACAGTGATTTTCAGCCCGGTTAACTGGGATGAAATTTTTAGCCTGTGTAGCTTTAACTGGGCTGAAACTCACACCAGGCGCCTGAAATTTTATCATGTAATCACTTGCTGTATTTTAATAGAATATTATCCTTTGGACGGGTTGAAATGTCAGCCCGGGAAACCGAGATGAAACTTGGCCTGGCCTGAAAACTCTTGGTGTAATCAGCCCCTTAGTCTAACCTTGCCAACAACCAAACCAATCTTCCACTGCCTATGTACTCATATGTTGACAAAACTTAAATTTTGACAGAAATATATTTCTCTTCCCGGCAGCATAGAGAATCGATGGTTTGGAAGCTCATTAGAACAACAATATAACTCACTATCTCTGTTAGTCAAGGTTTATTCATAAATCTGGTGTGTATTATACAAAATGTGTGTATTGTATTTTTGCCCAACTAATCAATAGCAATGTGTTAGGAAAGTTACCTATCCGTGATTCGAACAATAGGGAAATTGGAAATTGCTATATTGGTGGATTTGGCAAAAAATACAATACACACGTGACGGTGAAGGACCATATTTATGAATAAATGTTGACTAACATAGATAATGAGTTGTATTTTTCTTCTAACGAGTTTCCAATTAACCATCTGTTCTATTAAACTATGCTGGTAGCGAAATTCAAAAACACAAATTTCCCATGTGTAAGTCAAATGCCGATTTAACACAACATTTAACCCGTGACAAGATTTAATCTCGCACACAAGACAATCTCGACTTACGTGTAAATAAGTAAATTACTAGCCTACGGTGTAGACCCCAGCAGAAACACGTTTCGTAAATTACTGGCATTCCAGTATATGAGATGACAAAAATTCCTGCAAGGTGTAAGAAAATTTCCTGCAAAGAATATTTTGTTAAAAAAATTCCTGGCGCTGCCAGACATTTTCCAGCACTGGTACAAATATGGCCCGCGAAAATGTATTTTTTAACAACCCATCACTGCATGCTTCGATGCAAATGCGCCCTACTATATATCGAGACTATTTCACTCTGTCTATTGGCAGACAATTTTCCTCACCAAGGGGAGTGCTGACACTCAATGCATGGGTTAATCATACTATCTGCACATATGTCTAGTTAACCCATTAAGTGGCATCGTGCCCCAATGCGGGCCTACTTACATTTATTTTACTCTGGCTAACGCCAAATGATTTTACTCGTCAAGGGGATAGCGCTTGCGCTCAGTATTGGGTTAAACAGCAACTCTCAACCTCTGTATACTTTTTGAATACTTCAGAAGTTGCCAGGTTGCATGTTTTGATACTTTTTGTTGAAAAGACACTAAATTATGAGCATATGAGAATTGATTTCAAGTGCCATGTTTCATTAAACATTGATTTCTTTTGAATTTTCTTCATGAATTATCAATTCGTTTACCAATAATAATATATTCCACATTAAGAACCCACATTAACACATTATAATTAAAGAAATGTTAAACAGGTTTTCGTTGCATGGTAGGGATGGGGATGCAACTACTTGAAAAATATAAGGAGAATTTCGACGTTTCGAGCGAAGGCCCTTCGTCTGGAGTTACCCCCGCTAGTAACTCCAGACGAAGGGCCTTCGCTCGAAACGTCGAAATTCTCCTTATATTTTTCAAGTAGTTGCATCCCCACCAACGAAAGCTTGTTAATATTATTGACCAGGGCCCGCGGAGCGTATTAGAGAGTGGGGGGCTAAATCATCAATAAAACCCCCAAGGAAAATGTTCAATTTTCTATTACCTTAAACGCTATTTCCTGCATTTTTGGAGGAACTTTAGCAAAAAATCTCCAAGACCATCGTCATAAAAAGTAACAAAATTTAGACCTTTTACAAACTTCTAAGCAATCCTTTTACTAGGCTACTTTATAAACTAAGAGTATCTTAACAATTTAATTAATTTAGAAAGTTTCATTTAGATTTCTATTTTAATAATTTTGGCTGTCAAAAAAAGTGGGGGGCTAAAGCCCCCCCGTCTCCGCGGTCCCTGTTGACACTATACCTACACTGGCACAGACAGTTCAACATTAAAGAAATCGGCGATTATATTTACCATGTAAATACATTTTATATTTTGAATGTGTTTGGGAAAACATGTCTGACATACAATGTCATTATAAATGTTTATTATCTATTCACAATAGTATTATAATAATTATGATTATTTATTAGGCGAATGTGAAAACACGGCAAAGATGACAGAGACGAAATATATCTGTGTACCTGAGCCTGATGAGGAAACGTTTGAGACGAAGGAAGATGGAGAAGAACAAAGTAACGCAGTTCAGGAGGAACAGAAGCTGCAACACGAAGTGGAAGACACCAAAGAAATCTCCAATGAAGATCAAAATGTAGAAACAGATGGTAACAATGAAGATAGTGACAGCAAAGCCAGTGAAACGGCAGGTGATGATGAGAATAAATACATACTGAGCAAGTTGTTCGTTCACAGCCAGTGGCTATCCGTCCAGAGTCCTTATTTCAAGGCGCTTTTCTTTTCCGGGATGAAGGAAACTTATTCCAAGGAAGTAGTAATGAAAATCTATGAACACGAACTTCAAGCACATTTGACCTTAATCGAAGCAATTTACAAACTTGATGTACTCATTGACAAAGACTACCATCTTGTAGTCCAAGTTCTTGCCCTCGCACACAAGTATGATGTTCGCCATGTCATTAAGAAGTGTAAGTATGTCCTGTTGTCCACAACACCGAGCTTGGACATGTGTGAATATTGTCTCCGAGAAATAAAACATCTTTCCGACATGGCTGATATATATGATATGCTTGAGACGTTCCTTGTCAAGGAATTTACACCGATTGACAAAACATGGACAATGGAAAAGTTTACAGGACTTTCAAAAGCCGCGTTGAGGCTTCTTCTCAAAAGTGATAGTTTGGCCACCCAATCTGAAAACACAATATTTGTTGCATTGATGAAATGGGTTCGCTTGAATATCCTTTGGAAAGCACGCGATAAATGTGATCTGTTGGATGTTCTAAGATTCGAGTTCATGTCTGTGGATTTCTTGTATGATGTAGTTCAACATGATTATGTGGCAATAGAAATGCCTGAATTTAACGAATATCTTCTGAAAGGTTTAGCATATCATGGATTTTCGCAGATTAGGCTGGAACAACTCGAACCGAGGCCGAAGAAACGACCCTTCGTAGCAGATGCTGGTCCAACGTTTTCATGGGTAATTGATAATGAACTCGAAGAAAGATTATCAAAGATCCCAGGAAAGTCTGTTGTTTCAAGTAAATTTTGGAAACAAGGATATCCAATGCAACTTTTCCTGAACTATAATTGGGCAGATTTGAGCAAATGCAGCTTTTATCTCAAGATTCTTAATATGACAAGCGAGGCTTGCTTGTGTGTTAGCTATAAGGTTAAGTCACGTTTATTTACTTCGTGGTTGGTTCAGGGAGAAAAAATATTGTTTACAGCCGTTCATTCTTCTTGGGGAAAAAAAGATCTAGAACGTAACGAAGCCCACAGAGGTTATACAATTGATGTATGGGTAGAAATCGCTTAGCCTAATGTATGATAATTGTTGGTGGATGTCGTGTTTGAACCTCGTTGTAAGACTGCTGGTAATTCTAGCGTGATTTTGGGATATTGGTCAAATTCCTATTGTTTTACTGGAAGAAGTGCTATTACAGATATACAGGGTAAACAAAAAGCAGATAATTTTCAAATAGCTTTTAAACTGAAAATTATGGAATGTTGGGAACTTGGGAAAACTTTCAAAATATATTGGTTGTTAAGGGTCCGATACAACACAGATGCGAATGAGGACATTCGTATTCAATAAATGAATCAGATATTTGGTGAAAAAATTGAACTTACACGTCTTACAGTTTATGCAAATCAGCATGATTCTGTATTAGATATACAAACTCCTTCACGCTAATGATTTCTTTCCAATGGCAATACATCATGATTTATTTTCATTCAATTCATATGTTCATACGCGCAAAATGTCCTTTTATAAAGTGGGTGAATTATGTACATCAAATCATTTTCAGTCGTTTAATTTACTTTGACAGTTCGTAAAGCACATTTGAAACTTGGTAACTTTGAACCTTCCATTTTTGGGCAGAAACAACTTTTACATAAATACAAAAGACGTTAGGACTGTAAATTGAATGCTCAATTTTAATAATTACTGTAAATATTAATGATTAATTAAGCTTTGTTGCTGTACGTGCGAGAAGTGCCTGAGGTTGAATGCCAAGGCGCAAAGCATATGTATTTTTTTTATAATAACATGTTTATTGTAACTTTAACTATGACTTTAATGAAATCTCGCTTTCAGAAAGTCAGATGCATTTATGTTTTGGTTGGGTAAATTTTTGACATTTGGGGTCACAGGAACGCCAGTTTCTGCGCTCTGGCCATAGGCGTACGGGAGAAAAAATAGGGAGGGGGGATAAATTTGCTCGACGTTCATGAAGTTGCCCGACGTATATATATATATATATATATATATATATATATATATATATATATATATATATATATATATATATATATATATATATATATATATATATATATATATATATATATATATATATAT